GTAGACAGCGGTGTTCAAACACCGACAGTCTGTCTTTATCTTGTTTTCTTAATGGCCAAGTTTCTGCACCAGAAAGTAGGACTGGCCGAACTGTCGCGGCATACACTCGACCCTTCACAGACAGCCGGATGTCGCGACGGCGCAACTACTTCGCCACTATCTTCAAACGTGGTTTTTGCCATATCTTGTGTGAATTGAATTGACCGTTCAAACCAGTTAGTCAGAAGCCAAAGTCTAAATTTTATTTTAGGAATTACAAGTCCATGCTCTTCTTGTTCCATAGAATATTTCACGATTGAATCGTTTCTCTGCAAAAAAATGATAAATATCACGTCGTTCACGGTAGAAGATAACGCGATCTAGTCTGTACCTGGAACGCATTTTTAGGTGTGTTGCAATTTGCTGTTTGCCTGGGTTCCTTCAAGTCTCCTCTTGAAACATTACTGAGTTGACACACCAACGACGTGAAATGGAAGTGTGATTCAAGTGGTGCAAGATCTAATAATAAAGATTGACATCGGTATTCCAGTCGACACTTTGAAATCAGTAACTTGAAACGATGTATCCAAAGGTGTATGTTTGGCGGCAACTTGAGCAACGACCGACAGGGACGGTTTGAGTTCTGCAATGTTTGGTACACCAAAGTCCAGTTTCCTCGAATTCGGCGGTGCGGAGCAGAATATAGTCCCGTTGACCGTAATCTCCTCACAGGTGTAGCAGTGCAACCAATCCCTTGATGATCTTGGTTGCACTCCTTTGTTGACACTCCGACATCTCACGATCATGTTGCGAACATGGACTCCACGCTTGAATAATCTACTATGTACGGTTGAATGTACATCGATATCAAACGTAGGAACAATACTGATTCGATTCGACCAAAGACGCACCCAATTGAGCCGACTTCCTCTACCGCAGCGGACGAGGCCCTGGCACAACTAATCGAGTCCTGTTGAACGATGATACCTAAGTCCTCACTTGAGGTATATGACAGCTGCTGATTTCCGAGGATATACGGGAATCTACTGTGGCGTAGTGATACGACTTTGCATTTAGAAACATTGAATCCACTGTCGTTCTCCGTAAACTTTTGATAAACTGCGTTGAATGTTCCTTGAAGTGTTAACGAGCCATCGGGTTCCGTGACTGTATTCCACCATCAACTCTTCGTTTATCAGTATTTACGGTAAGTCCAGGTTTCCAAACCTAGTGAGTTTCACACAGTTGCACCGTAGGTGCGAGTCGACCAGCTGTTTGGACTGCTGTTCGAATAATGAACGGACGATCGTTGGTTTATTGAAAGTGGGGCAGTTGAACTCACCCATTTAGAGAAAGGGAGTAAATCTTGGAAAGATTGTGTGATATAGTTTTCAAAGTAGTTTCGTTGGCTGTCTCCGGAGATCATGGGAAGCGATGGATTGCATCAGTCAAACGTTCATCATATTCGGACAGTCGTAGCCTGCACCAAAGTATGTGAGGAGCCGAAACCGCATGATTAGTTACATCGCGCTGATGATCATCGTGAACATGAAGTAAAATACCACCGCCATGTGTGGAACGATCCTATCTTAGTGGAGAAATGTTTGGTAAAGAGAGTTCGAAATCAGTAATTGCAACTGTTGGCCACCTTTCGGTGATTACAGTGACATCCCATTGGTCATATTGGAAACGCCATTTTTGTTCGGGAAATTTACTGAGAAATCCTTGTGCATTGGTGTAGCCTCCGAAAGCCTCAGTATGGTTGGGTTGTGACTTGTCACTGCACTCGCGAAATGCTCCTATATGAACAGTCATATCAAATCGCTTTTGCTGAGGAAGCCCTACTCACTGCCTTCCCTTGGCGGAGGCGTTTTCCCACCAAAGTGAAAAGATAAAAGCCCACATTCGGGGTTATAACCAGGTCGGCGAACCAATTGTACATCACCTAGGAAGTTGACTAAAAACCCTGATTCCAAACCAACCAAAAAGAGCCGTACAGACCACACACAAACCTTTCTGGTTGTCGCATCGGTCACCGGCTTCATTGGCTATCGAAATGTGTTGGGCACGTAGGACTTTTGACCCGACGAACGAGAAACCGGTTCCCGATGAACTGCGGACTCTGAGCTTCGTCGTGCTGGCTTTCTCCCCTTCGGGTTAGGACCCGGAGATTATCCTCCTTCCTCGCTCATGGCAACCGGAAAGTAACATATCTACTCAACCTGTGATTACATTTTACAGATTTCTTCTTCATATGTTGTGACTAATTTACCAATTTCATGTAATTTGTAACCTGCGTGATAGATTAAAGTAATATAGTTGATGTAGTAATTCGTTGGTTGAGAAGTGATATCTGTGCCCTCCACGTGATTGTCTGGTAACAATCGTTTTTGAGGGAGACGTTCTGGTGATTTGATCTTCTAGTGGGGCGTGTTGATAGTATCTTCTAACTGTTTTGTGGATATAGCAATGATCTCAGGCCCCGTTCTGGCGGACCTGTTTTCTTTTGTGGCATGACTGCAAAACGGTGATAGTCATGTGCAGAGTACCAAGGGTAAATTTCATTATCCTTGGAACGCTACGATGAAACTCTGGTAAACGAGAAAGCCGAATGATTGATGTGTTAACAACATTGTGACATTCTAGTATCTCCTGTAAGAGTGATGCTCATTGCAATCATTCGGATTCTTTTGCGCCGTTTAGTTTTGGGGCTGCGTAGATGAGCGCGACGCTTTAATTTTCAGCCTCCAGCAGACTCTTCGGATTAGACCTATGACGCATGTATTCCGTTCATTGCATATCAGGCTGGCTTCTTACCTGAGATAATTGGGGAGTCTGACGGCACATAGATTCAGCAACGCCTTCTTGAACGATGGATGAAAAATTTTTAGTCAAAGTTCAGCTGGCACCCGTTGACACAATAGCTGCCACACCCGGGCAAATACTGCCAGTAGATATCAGTCCTCTATCAGAAATGGAGGTTACCATTTAATCGGTTACCTCAAAAAGTGTAAGTTCTCCGACCCGGATGAGCTGTCTCCACTGGCTTTTAAATGTGAAAGGTCGGCGTTCGTCTTGGAGTTATCGAAACTCTTAAGAACAGTGAGGGAGAGGGAACAGTTTCTAACTGGATGGTGTGAATCGGTGGTCATACCAATTTACGAGAAAGGTGACAAGTCGTCTTGTGAAAACCACACGGGAGTTATTTTTATCAACATTGTCTCTATGCTCGCTGGTGTTATACTTTGTCGATTGTCTGCCGAAAATGAACGGTGCAAACTTGAGAACCAGGCTGGTTTTGGACCTGGTCGAGGCCGTATGGACCACATCTTTACTCTGCCAAATTCTGGAGCAGCGACATTCTTTTCGTCGGTCCACTATCTCTGTTTTCCTTAATCAAAAGGTGGCTTCAATTCAGTCAACCGCTCTAAACTTCGGCGTTGCTTCTCTGTGAAGGGGTTCCCCGAGAAGTTAATTTTGAGATTTTTGGTCTCTTTATACTGACAGCCGAAGTAGGGTCCGAGGTCACGGCACTCTTTCGCCCAAGGTCACCAAAAAAGTTGTGTTCATCAGAGTCGATCTCTTTCTGTTTCTACTTAGATTGTATTCTCGGAACACCCTATCCTCCTGCGAGGATAGCGACATCGATTTGCTCCCAGGTGTCAGGCTGTCGAATCTGAAATATGCATACGACACTTTGCTGTCACTTAAAGAACCTGGTAGGTTGCAAAATTTTGGGATAGTTTTAGTGCTAGTGCCATATTCAGTATGTTTTGCACCTTCAAAGTGTGAAATGTTGCTACAACACTTTGTTGGCCGAGCCCCTACCCTCACTCTTGCTTAAGAAGTAATAGAGAAGGCAGATAAATTTTCCCCTAGCGCAGCTATACATCTCCTGGCAAACGCCTGACACATGAAGTGTCGGCACGCATGCAAAAGGTTCGTGTGCCGTTTATCAACTTGAGACATTTGTGACGCCGTCGCGACATCCGGCTGTCTGTGAACGTCGAGTGTATGCTGCAATAGTTAGGCAGAGACTTGGCCGTTACGGGAGGAGAGCAAGAGTAGATTGTCGCTGTGCATTTCGCATAGCAGGAGTCTGGTAGGGAAACCGGGTGAGCAATGTTCAGGTCAGGCGTGCAGTTTTAGGTACCCGCGGTCATTCACTGGAACAAGATGTCGACTTCCATAGTTTACGCTGGTTGAAACATGTATTGTGCATATCACCAAATAGGTTGTCACGTCGAGCGATGTTCACCGAGGCAGACCGTGAATAGAAAAAGGTCGAGGGTGGTCAATCTGGCATAAGGGGACGAAAACCCACATAGGTCACATAGGTCCGGTTAGGCTCCCTGGATGGGGACCCTGGGACCGATTGTTAGAGACACAGTGATATGGCCGAGTGTCACGAACAGTGGTGTTCGTTCATCTACTCAATATTGTTGCAACCGCAGTTTACACAAACTCTCTTCCCTCCGAATTTGCGCTCAACATTCAAATCTTAATTCTATTCTCCTTTCTCAAATGGGCGTTCAAAAGACCAAAACCGGCACATGAAATATCATGGTTAATGTTTGTAAAAGTCAACTGAACTGATTTCTCTCTCAGACGGGCTATTCCTCAGTAGATGACTAGATCAAAGAGTGCTCTCGACGTCTCTTTCGCATTTCAAGATCAGTCGGAGCAATCTGGCTTTCCCAGTCCTAGATGGTGACCGCTGATGTACAAGGAGCGTGAGGTACACAGGTTAAACTTTGGTGCCTATCTAGACACAAATTATTGCAATGGCTCAACTCTTCCACTTTGTTTGTCCTTGTTTCGGGTATTTTCGAGCAAATAATTGGAAATATAGTGTTGCTTGCATCTTTTTTCCCTGGTTTGTTGGCGGTTTATTAGCTTTACTAACGGCTGTTCTCTGCCTCCGAAACGGTGTGGGTGTTCTTCGTTTTTTTGGGGCACAGTACTTCTCATTTCAGATGGGTCTGTGATTTGCGTTTGGTACAGCTGGGGAATACCGAAAGCCTTTGGTCGGTCGCTCAGTTAGGCTCGCTGGAGTAACCGGGGAACTTAACGCCGCTATTTTTGTTCTAATGTAACTTTTTGATAGTTTCACCATACACTTTTTGAAGATTTTTTGTGTTATGGGGATCAGGGTTTCTCCAGACAAACCGCACAGTCATCGCGCCACTGACATGAATTCTCAACCATATCTCTCTAGTCTCTAGTGATCGACAATTCTCATCACTGTGGCCCCTGCCTGAAAGGCGAGCTGCACCAAACGAAGCCAATGCTGAAGCTAACTTCTTTATACCTCTACGCCATGTCATGATCTGACCGCCGCGAATCTTCTTCCAACCTTGCCCGGCAGGTGCCAAAAGAGCCGGAGAACTGTTCTGCGGATGTACCACATGATTCTCTCTGCTCATCTGTTTTTCGTTGCTTTATGTTGTTCTATTCACTAGTATTTTCGTTGTACCCGTTTTTGTAAGTGCTTCAGAAGATAGTAACAAAAAACCAATCACCCTTCGGTTACACCATTTATTCGCCGCACATGTGCTTTTCGCTTACCTAGTTGGTCGCGCGGACTCCTGCTTGTCAGATGGGTGAAGACAACTTGGCGAAAGTTTTCGGGCCAACATTGGTCGGTTACTCTTGTCCCGAACCACAGTTGATGCAAACAGTAACAGAAACACGAACACAACAAGCGGTAAGTGTTCTCGTAAGAATAGAGGAGGAGAAAAACAAGATATGAATTGTTCGAGTGACTTTGACTCCTTTTGTCTGCTCACGATGGAACCTGACTCAACGAGTAGTGAACAGATTGCACTCTGCTGACCAAAGGTACTTAGCTCCACAGGTGAAAAAACAAATGCGAAATAAGATCACCTAAACCGGAGCTTTTTTGACTCATTTGCGTGGCCGGACTAAAAACCATGGTAAGGAATTTAACTAAAATGGATTGGTTGGTTTACTGCTATTGATAAATAGTGGACTTGGTGTCACTTTGTAGAGAATAGGTTTATAGCGAACCGAATTCTCCTAAGGGAACACTCTTGGGGCAGGAAAATTGTGATATGTTGGTTATAGAAGACGAATCGCTGAAACCAAATATTGTCTGCTACATTGTATTTTGTTCAGAATATGCGCTTTCGGTCTAATGAAAGGGTCCCATCAGATCATTGAATTGATACTGAAAATGATACATTCGACTATGATACTTTCGCGATTCTGTTTCTGCATTCATCCGGATCATTCTTCGCAGTACTGCGTTCGTATATTGGTTGACAAAGGCACCCGTTCGGTAGGTCAGTGCAGAGTACCCGTTGTATTCAATATAAGACCCAAAGCCGCACTCATCCGCTAAAATCTCTGTCGATAACCGTTCAAATGTGATGCAGCTACAAAGGTTTGTCTACTTCCGAGAGTGAAGCAACTATGAAAGGATTGTTCATCATCCCAACAATAAACAGTTTTCGTACAAAAGGACGGCTTCTACGAGAAACTTGCTGAAGCTCACTTTTCCTGATACGATGGATGGAGATCGATATCACTAGGCTAGGCGATATACTTTCATCACTAACCTACAGGTAACACAATTTATTTTCTTATTAAACACCTAAATGTGATGAACGGCAGACGGGGCGAACCCCATAGCCACGAGGACCTGCTGCTCAGTGGTGCAAACCGGCAACCTAATCCCGAGGACTTGCAGTGGCGAACCACTTATGGCCTCCATAGGTTAGGCGTGGTATTGAACCGATTTACTCTCAGGTGTGAGACTGTCTGATCTAGAGTATGCAAACTACATTGTGCTGCTAACTGAAAATTCAGGTAAGTTTCAAGCTCTTCTGGATAGTTTGAGCGCTAGTGTAGCGATGTTCGGCATGCGCTTTGCACCTTCTAAGTGTAAAACGCTGCCCCAAGATTAGAGTGGCCCAGTCCCTAACCGGGGAAGTTGTACCTGGGCAGCTATATTTCACCTGACGGGCACATCACGGATGACGTGTCGGCGCGTATACAGAAAGCTCGATTGGCATTTGCCAACTTGAGACATCTGGTGCGCCGTCGAGACATCCGGTTGTCTGTGAAGGGTCGAGTATATGCTGCAGCAGTTCGGCTAGTTCTGCTTGACGGTGCAGAGCTTTGGCCATTACGGGAACAAGATAAAAATAGACTTTCGGTGTTCAAACACCGCTGTCTGAGTCTGGTGGGGACGAGCAATGCTGAGGTGAGGCGTAAAGCTTTAGGTAATCGCCGTCGTCCACTGGAGCAGGTAGCCGACCCACATAATTTACGCTGGTTGGGACATGTGTTACGCATGTCACCAGAAAGGCGGCCACAGCGAGCAATGGTTGGCGAGACAGATAGCGGTTGGATAAGAATGAAGGGCGATCAAGCTAAGATCTGGCACGAAGGTATGAAAACCTTAATCAGGAGACTGGCTCACATAGGTCCCGTTATACTCCCTGTCTGGGGACCCTGAGATCATGGTCACCGGTGGTTAGAGACACTGAGCGATATGGCTGGGTGTCGCAAACAGTGGCGCTAATGGATCTACTCATTATTCTGGTCACTTCAGTCTATGAAAATGTCCTACCTTTCGCTTAAATATGCTCTCAACATTCTGATAATCATTCTGCTATTTTATCCAAATGGGCATCGAAAGCCGGCGCACGAAAGTGCATGGTTAATGGCTGTAAGAACTGATTTGAACTGGTATTAAACCGGCCGACTGACGTGGTGGGGCGGGCCTCGAAGCTCGAACCATAGGGTCCAATGAACACCGGTAACAGCAACTAAACCGTTGCGCCACTACCACAGTTTTGTAATATTGCTGCCTAATTTGATCACGTGCTTTCTGGTCTTTATGTTAGGTCCGTTAACTGCATCGTTTTTACTTTTACCAACCTCCTGTAGGTTGTGAAACTGCTATTCAGCGTTCCCGATCACATATACTCGTCTATCTTGTCTAATCCACCTCCGGAGGATCCTTCAGGAAGCGAACAAGAACAAACTTATTTCAGTCCATTATCTGTTCGAGTCGATCAGGCATCTGATAGCGTCGATAGTATGCGGACACCGATGCGTTCACGTCAGACGCCCCGTCGTTTGGCTGGTTTGGGGATGTCGTCACGAAAGCGCTTTCTTCCTCACTTCCTATCTGCCAACCGAAACGCTGCTGACTCGTGAACTTCGTTGTTCAGTATTCTTTTTTTTTACATGAACTGCATTTGACGTTTGCTGTTTTATGCTGATCTTTCCTTACGGTTGTGACCTATTTCTGTCTATTTTTACGGTGAAACCGTTTAGCTTTTGCACAAATCCCTTAAGCAATACTTTTTGCTCTACATTTCTTTATTCTATACCCCTCACTTGGATTATCCGCACGGCCGTTCCGCTCGTTTCTCTTGTGCATTACCTCATGGATTTGCGATTTGTATTATATTATTCTTTGTCATATACATCATTTATATTTAGTTCAGGTCTTACAACCATTAACCATGCACTTTCGTGTTTCGGTACATGAAAGAGCATGAATGATGGGTCGATCATATCGGCAGTAGTCAGGCTAGTTGTGTGGTACCGAACGGGACAATGGAGAGTGACACTCGGCAGGACAATGAATGCGATTGGAAGTATTGGACAAACGATCGTTGATAAACGGAAGAAACAGTTTGAGCATGAGTTCTGAACCTTCGGAAAGGCCGCCATTCACAGGAGTCGAGGGTGAAATCCGTATTCGCGGTAATCCAGAAAACCCTTCGAATTCGAAGAACAGTCGAGTCAAGATAAGGGTTTTAAACCTTTTGAAGTTACTACAGTGCGAGCGAAGGTGCGGTAGTTATTGCTATCGAAAGGATCTCCAAACTGTAGGGTAGGAAGAATTATGGTATTTACCAGCTTCGTGATGGGAGGTTTGTGGCTAGGGGGAAAGAGGGGAGGACAGCGTACAAAGGGATTTATTCCGAGACACGTTTTTATGACGATAGGGAGAACACTGTCTTTCTTTTATTACAACGTGAATTACGGTTAAAGGGGAAATTCCCATGGACAAATAGCATACTGTAAAAGGAGTAGAGGAACATTCACGTAAGATCCAGTTTATTGATTCTGCGTTTAAAAAGTCTAAAATTGTAATTTTGCAGAAAAACAGCAAGCTAGAGGGTGTTCCACAGTTGGGATGAGTCGGGTAAAAGTTGATGGAAGAGGAACTGCCGAAGAAAGTTCCGAAGAACAAAAACCTTAGTAGTAGCGATAGACCAGGGACAATGAAGCAACTTTCTGAAGACGGGCTAGCGACTACAGACTTTATGTTACAGAGGGATCGATAAGCCGAATGGCCTTTCGATCAAGATGGGAAAGGAAAGCAGAATTAGCCCCACCCCACATATGACTACAGTATTCAAGAGCAGGGCGGATTTGAGCGTTGTACAAGAGAAGATGACCTAGGGTAAAAAAAATGTCCGGCGCGAAATATAAATTTAATCTCGCGCATAGCACGAGAAGCGACCTTAGCAGGTCTCCGTGACTATGAGGTTCGCTCCGTCTGCTGTTCAATATGTGTAATAGAAACAATTCCCCACCCCACCCCCCCCCATGTCAGACACCACTTACCCTCAATTCCCAACGACAGTTTCTACCCAAACCTGTTGTCTGGGCCTTTAGCCACCAATCAATCGGCTCTTTGAGGATTCCAAATTTGGATTCCGTGAAATTCAGCTGTTGTGGTCAAAGCTCCGATTTCCTTCTTTCAATCACCACTTGACACATTCACCTACTACTTCTTCTTTGGGACAGGAAGCTGAACACTTCGCCTTTGTCAAAAATCTGAGCCAACTGGTTGACTTCCCCACACGTGTCCCTGATCGCGCCCACACCCTTGATATAATTCTCACTTCCACCGTTTCTTTTTTCCGATATTTGTACTCACCCTCCTCGTGGCTCATCGGATCGTTGTATTGTTTCTTGCCCTATAAGGTTTACTAGACCCGATCCGCCACTCTCCTGAGAAACATATGGTTCTACAACTTTGCTTTACGGCGGATGGCTCCTAGGAGAGTGTGATCCGGCTTCATGGATATCCCAAATTGCCGCTGCCCGGGATCATGGGTTTGCGGGAAGATGAGCGCAGATCGTAATCCAGCTTACCTTCCATCGGCGATTGCCGTAGACAGAACGGAGACCAAGGTTTTCTGTATCCTCGGACGGGGTGCGGTGCCAAGGTAAACTTCATCGGGTCGTGGTCAGACTGACAAAGTATGTGACCAAACCATAATACTCGCTGATTGGCGTTCTCAACCATATTAGATTGAAACACGTGTTTTTGGTGGCTTCAGGTTAAAACTGATCCCTCAGTCAAACTCCCAGAATGATTCTTAGACATCATTGATCGAAGACTTCTAATCGTCGACAGTCATCGATCCTAAGTGGCCAGGTTTCACAGCCTTACAGTGAGAAAGGACGGACTATGGTAGAGAAAACCCGTATTTTTGTCTTTAGGCTGCTTTCATTTGTACGCCATAGGGAAATCTTCAGCTGTGGAAACACCTACCTTGCAGTATTGACGCGCACTTGCACCTACTGTTTCGCTCGTTCGTAAGAAAGTATCTTTGAGTTCGGGATTCGATCGGTTCGCTGTTTAGTAGTAAAGCATCGTCCGGATGAGTTGGGACTGTCGCAACCATTTTGGTTTTCGATGTGTTCACCTGTAGGCCGATCTCGCAGGCTTGTTGCCTGATGCGGTCAACGATTACTTGGAAATTGGAGGTTGAAAATGTCCTCACCAATGACGACAATATCATCAGCAAATTTTTAGGTCGGCGGACCGTAGGTTGGGAGGGCTGAACTCCCTGGTGTGCTTCCATCGAATGACTCATTATCCAGTCAATGACAGTTGAAGAGCATTAGGGAAAATGACCTCCCTTGTTGCACTGCAGATCCTGATTGGAAATACCATGACTGTTCGCCATAGACGCGGATTCGGGCACTAGTGTTGGAGTAGTAATATCTCCTGAGGTTGACAAGTTTAACTGGAACAGCGTTCGCCAGAACTATGATCAAGGGGGATCCACGACAGGAATCGAATGCAGCACGAAAATCAATGAGGCAGACTGCTGCGGGTTCTTGAAGCTCTTTGTGATGTTCCAAGAATCGAAATAAGGTAGTCAACGCAACAAACACCGGGTCGGAATCCCTTCTGGTTAGAACGGGTGCTGGCGTGTCTTGTTGCAGTATGGCGGTTTATCAAATACCTTGGCCGCCACATTAGGTAAACTAATACCTCTGTAGTTTTCGCACACCGATTGATCACTCTTTTAGGTGACAGATATTGAAATCAACATGGTCCAGTCATTTGAGCGAATTTCAGTTTCCCAATAAGGTATGAAGAGGGTTTAAAGTGGTTGGTTGAACGCGTATCGTAGATTTCCGCAGGTGTCGCGTCTTCTCCGAGAGATTTCCGCTGATTGAGGTGGTTGCTGATATCTGAGACCTCTAACTGCGGGGCACAACTGGCTTCGTTAGGCAAGGAGGACGCATACAGAGGTCGAATTTGAGGACGATTGAAGAGCCATTTTTCATTTCCCATCAGAAATGAGCTCGCCGGAAGCGTTGCGCAACACAGACCGGGTGATTTTTATAATGAGTAGTATATGGATAAATGGACAATTTCCCAAAAGCCGAAGACTGGTTTCGCGGTCTTTGTCGCTCGCCCGGTAATCTTACTTGTAAATTCTTGTTTGAACCTTCAATGTGAATTATGCAATGCAAATCTCATTCGCATGCGTTAGTGATTGACTCCTGGTGTTATATTCTCAAAAGGCGGTGCTGGTCGAGGAGAGTTCTTTATTGTAGAATACAGATTGAACGTCACTAATTTTGCATGCATAACAAGAAAACCTTATCAGAAACATGCCATCGCAACACAGAGTAACTACTGATCGAGAACAAGAGATCAAGTGCGATGAGGGTCGGACTGTTAGTCTCTCAGGTAGGTTAGGCTCATAGCCGGGGTGAGCGTGTGGATCGATAAATGGGTTATCATGCAGTTGTTTATGTTGATAGGAGATGTCGTATGGGGCTATGCTGCCTAGGTCGACACAACGACCCAAACCGGTTAGTACCAATGTAACCACTTTCGACTTCGAAATGTACCGGTTATTTTAAATCAAATGCGGTGGCTGAGACACTTTGAATTGAAAGTCACGGCTAATAGTAAGTGATTGCAGGTGTTTTTTCCCGCTAGTTACATGCTACAGAATGAACTCAACATTACTCCTTTCGTTGAATCGACTTAAATGGAACAGCTGATCAGATAATAATTCTTTGCCTACTTTGGTGAGTAGAGGATCAAATTTCAGAAGTGTCAGTAACCGTTCAATGGACGACGGCTTTTCTTCAATGAGTTCACTGCCCTCAAGTAGCTTCCTTTGATAGTGGAATTTCACGAAAATACGTGATTATGCGGCGTTTTTACCATCTTCGTGAATCATACGGACATTTAACACTACAGAGATGTTGAACTAAAAAAACGAAGTTTTGTAGTTCTTAACGTAACCTAATATATTCTAATGAAGAGAACTGCCTGAAACTCACGATGAGTAGAAAGCAAAGCTCATGATTACCTCGCCTTTCTGTGAACCTAGAAGGCGTTCATGAATTTCTAACGTTGAATTCCCAAAGGGTTCGTGGAGTGCAACAATCAAACTTCCCTATTGTCGCACACTGATGTTCCCCCTCCATCACTGTCCGTAATCAAACGGCATACTGTACGTGTTTACTCAATATCTGCTTGTTAAGTGGACAAGATACGCACGACAAATGGTTTCGCAATTCTAGACGTATTATTGTCTGGACGATCAGATTGCTCTATTCGTAGAAGCATTCACCATTAGAAAACATGAACGGGACAGTACTGACACTATCAAATTTTCGTCCCATTGCAACAGAAGAGAAATTTGATTCGCTGTGTGACCAATACAGTTTAGTAACTTTGTTCTTCGGCGTCTGTCGAGTTTGAACTAGGAAGAATGCGAAACATTTTTCTAGAGAATGAATATCCCAAGTTCATAAAAGCATGACACCATATCCCTCCAAGGCATTATGTGATACAGCAAACACCCCATTCAGGGGAGAAACGATCGCGAAAGAAATGTGTAAACTAAATCAATCCTACATCAATTTCACCTACT